CCTTTCTGTTCCTTTGTGTGTTTGTTTCATTCATTTCTGTGACTAGCAGCCTGAATGACACTTTACTGTTCGATATCTACGACTGTGAGACGTACAGTAGCGTTGATGTTGATCACTGCCAAGCTGACTCAATTATTCTCTATGGAGATCTAACTGTCAGTCCAATATCTCCTTTATGGATCTTCCATTGATTTTAATGTACTGCTCAGTTACTGTTAGTGCCTTTAATCAGTCAATGAGGATGTAGTGGATAACACTAAATGCTTGGAGTTGAAGAGCTGGAGGAGGAGAGGGTTTTTTTTCTCTGATGATTATAACGTACAAGTTATAATGTGAGAAATATTTTCATCAGTGGGAATCATTTATGCTTAGGTGGCATATTTCTTTCAGTGGTTGCCATGGAAACATCTCCCCATTTGTTGAAGGAGTATGCAGAAGGATCTAGTATCTTCAGTGACAAAATCTCATATTGTGTCTGTTGGTGGAGAAGACAGATATTTAAAATATGAGACAGAAAAAGAGCTCAGTTGTTCTGCTGAATCAAAGTCTCTAGGTTGACTGGAGGCTTGATTGGAGGGTTGACTGGAAGTTGATTGGAGGGTAAGATCTAGGGGCAACAGAGAACAGTTCACAGGAATGGTTTAACTCTTTGGTATTACAGTATATATAATGGACAGAGCTTCTGTCACATTTTCTAACTAATATTACTGAAAATGAAACTCATTACACTCTTAAATAGGGAAAGAAATATAATTACTACCTCAATACCATCAAGCACTCCCATTCTGTATTTTTTGCTTATTGCACTTTCATGTCTGCATGCTTTGTGTGTGAGAGCTTTCAAGTGTGTAAACGTTTACAGACAGAATATAATGGCCAACAGGGGGCAGCTCCATTGGCTGCAAAAAAATCTGATAGTATTGAGTTTTATGCAGAAATTACTTCTCACTTGATTTATTAGGTTAGTAAACAGTTGTCATTGGTTGAAACATGGATTTGTTTGCAGTCTGAAAACTTCTGTTGTTCTTGCTTGTCTGTAAAACACTGTCTGACTGCGAATGAAACTAGGGAAGCGGCTTTGTGTGTGCTGGATGTTAACCTGACATACATTTGCCAAACCAATTACTTCCTCATCCTGATCCTTAAAGCCTTTTTTGTAGAATGGAATCACACTGTTTGAACACACACCAGTAAAGTATACATTTCACCTGTGTGGAGCTTTCCCCTGTAACTTTTAGAGTCTTCTTAACCACTTGACCACTGGACTGACTCAAAACCAATTTTATACAATACACACAAAGCTGAGATTTATGCTTCATTGTGTTTTCAAACTGTATGTTTTGGTTTTACAAGAGAAAAGACTTCCAGGATGAGGACTAACTGGTTTTGATGAAAACAAGTGCACAGCACCTTCCCTGAGCTGTCTTATACAGGGGATAAGACGCATTTTTAGTGTAGTGTAATGTGAGTGTAAGAGAGTTTTACATCTCCAAAAAATTGCTCCAAAAGCATTTGAACATCAGCCTCCTCTTCTTGTTTCCTTGGGTACATGGGAAAGTTTACTATGTTGCATTTTTGAACATGTTCTCTTTGTATAGGTCCGTTTTGCTAAATACTAAGCGACAGGACTTTTAATCAATTGGCATTTCAATCAGGAGAGACACGTGATTGGAGTTAAGATAATTATTTATTATAACAGATGACATGTGGTGATTAAGCCTTGACACATTGTCTGCGGCACTTACACTCAACAGGGAGATTTTTGTGATCGAGGGCCGTCTGCCCTGAGCAGCAGCAAAATAAATCCCCCCCATGGAGTTCAGACACTGGTGGTGGTGGCTGATGACTCTAAGGGTTATATTTTGATAACATAATGAGGCTGATGAATCTGCGTAGACGGTCGTAATAACAGCATGAATGAACTGAGGGCAGAGAGACTGCAGCAAGATGAGACTAACAATGCAGGTGTGTTCCTGTGACATTGGATAGATGAGACCAGCTGATGAGAACAGCTGATAACTGGATTGACAACTCCTGATAATGAAAGCAAGGAAATCATACGTGAGCATATGTGAGAGGAGAGAATGCAGGATGGAAAGAGAAATAAAAATGACGTATGCAAGAGAATAATCTTCCTATCTGAACTTTTGCTAGAGCTTCATATAGACACATGCTGAATGTATATGAATATTTTATTAGACCAAGTAACCTCATCTTGCTAAGTTAGAGACTTTATGTAGGGGTCAAAGTGAATTCATTAAGATTTTTCTGTGTGCATTTGGCTCAGCATAAAAAGACACGAGAGTTGTTGAGTAAAAATGGATAAACTGCTTGAAATATAATGTGAACATAAGCTGTATCTCAGCATTTCTTTAAGACCCAGTCCAGAGTTCAGTTTGTCCTCTGGGGAATCGCAGTGCTCCAGGCCAGCCAGCTGGCTCCTGGTGACTCGATGGCTCTGATTATTTTAGTTTAGGGATGGAGTCCATCTCCCCAATCAGACGCTTCTCTCCTAATGTGCTCCCCTGGCACATGTCGAAAGAGCTGTGTAAACGCTTTTAAGCGGGAAAAGAGTCACCTTCAGGTGCGACACGAGAAAATGTGGCTTTACTTGTTCACCCACCCTCCCATCATCCTTGTCCTCCACCCTTCCTTTGCCTACCTTCTAAACCATATAATCACGTTAATGGGCTGGGATGGCGCTCCAAAAGGGAGGAAGAGAAACTGAGAGGAAGGAAGGGGGATGAATGAAGGAGTGGGGTAGAGAGATTGAATAAAAGACTGAATTAGAAAATTAGTGGGTCCATTTTGGATGGGCAGCACATGACATACAGTAAGAAACAGATAGGAAATAGGAAATACTGCACAGTGTAATAGTATTATAGCTCAGGAATTCTGGGTATTATTGTCAATAAAGAGGAAGTTTCCTCTAACTGAACTGTTCTCTGATTTATAAAGCCCTTGTTTTATGATATCACAAAAGCTGCTCAGTACAACTTAACATAGCATCGAATAATATGCCATTGTCTGGACTGATCGTTTATAAAATGTTAGAAAATAACGAAATACCCATAATAACTTCCCAGACTGCAAGATGATATGTTCCAAGTAGGGCCCAACCAATATGCTTTTGACATATTTCATATTTTTTTCATATCAGATCACATGCTGATACCAATACAATACCGATATGTCTGTGATAGGCCAATACAGACTGATAATATTGGCCAACTGATATATCGGTCAGGCTCTAATTCCAAGTGCTTGTTTAACAAAAACTGTAAGTTAAACTAAGTTATACTTAACAAATCCTCCCATTTGAGAAGCTGGAATAAGGTCATATTTGGCATTTGCGCTTCAAAAATGACTGAGACAAATAATTTATTCTCTAAATTGTAACAGAAAGTATTTTTTCAGCTCTGTTTTAAAAATGGCCAAATGCGTGGGTAAAATTATGAAACGTCACAAAAACAGAATATTTAAAATTAAAGTATTAGAAATTACTTTTATTTTTAAAATGTTTATAAAAAAAAGTCTACAGTCACATTTTCTATACCCTATTGCTGTGGTGCCATAGACAGATGGCTCACATTTAAGCAATAACATCTTAATGACATGGATAGCCTATAATCCATGACTGTTTCCTTGGATAAAGATTAAACTCAGCAATAATAAAAGTCAGTCCATATAATTCCCTCATTTTTTGCATCTCTTCCCTTCACCCAGACAGTAGACATCTCTAAGTCACCTGCAGTAACGAACAAGCTCAACAATGTTTAATAATTCAGCGGGGGCGTTTTGTACTATTGGCTGGGTGACATTGGCTTGCAGGAGAGGCGGGTGCTGTGCGAACAGATGTCTACACCAGCCATGGGTAAACAAAAACCCATGCCTGGGCATAATTCTGCCCCAGGGAGATTTACTTCCTCCTCCTCTGTTATTCCCTCCTCATCATGTTTAATTCTCTGTCTTGACATTGTCTCTGCTACCTCAGCCTCCTGCTTCTGTGCAACGCATTCTTCTCTGCTAATTACCAACACCATCCCATCTTTTTAATACGGACATCATGTCCTGGTTTTGTCACATTATTTGAGGCCTTTTTTGCCCCCAAGGTTATTGTAGTTTTTAAGGTTTTCAAATTGTGTTTATATTCTCTCCTATTTTAAAGCCATTGTTTCATTGCACGTGTTGTTCTTGATATTGTTGTCTTGTTATCTCTCTAAGGCATCTTTAAACTCTTCTTTATCTGGACAATTTAGATGACAATTGATGATGCCACTGTGGCTGCATAAACTAGCCACAGCATCTTCAATATCAGTCTCTCACTAGTGTAAGGCAGCGTAGTGTGCACTCCTTAGGAATAACAGAGAGAGAAGGAGTGGGTGATTGGGTAAAGGAGAGCTAAACAGTTCTTGTAGAGACTGACTATGAATATTCAACCAGGGTATTCTCTGTTTAATAAACAAATAATGGAAACCCTGTCTCTTACAAAATACATATATATTAAAATTATTTCTTCTGACAAAGATGTTTTGAGAGAAACATAATTGCTGCCTGGAAGACGTTTGTTGACAGTCAAGGAAGTGTAACATCCTTACTACACAGACATCAGAGGGAGAAGTTTGGATGGTTAGTGTCCTGCATTGGACCTGGTGAACTGCAAATAAATTACATATAGTGTCAAATATTGTGGCCTTATTCATGTCTGTTTCATGTCACTGATATCCACAGAATAAATATATCACCATGTGTGAAAAGTTTGAGATTAGATTAGAGAATATTGACTTCAGAACTCACCAAGGACTCACAGGATTACAGTCTTGTTCAAATGCATCAGACTGAGTAGACTGTCTACAACGAGAGAGCTGATTTGTGACTTTAGGATGCAAGTGTGTATCTTGAGTGCCAGATTGACGCAGAGGGCTGTGCCACCTCCTGGCTATGACACAGAGGGCATTAATTACCATGTCTTTGAGGGGACAATCTAATCTCTGGGACGCATGGCACATAAACCTGGGCGTCCCATGAGGCATCTGCTGCAACACTTCCTGACAATTAAAGGCAGGAGGCTTCTGGGAAAGGGGACAGTAAATGAGAGGGCATGTCTTGGAGATGTTATTAGGTCAAAAGCTAAACAGCGAAGTGTTCAATCACGTTGAATTAGGGATGTGATTATATCTAGTTCTGAGGAATTGATGCTTGTTGTTTTAAGTTCAGTTAGGTCTTCACACGTCCCAAAATTTTGAATAAATCCAAACATAACTGTGGAAAACCTACCTGTATCCTATGTGTATTAATTGATTTTCCCATTCCATATCAACCAGAGGATAATTAGACCTGATACAAAACTCAAACGACCCAAAAAGACCAAACAAGCAGCCGCAGTCATGAGACAGAATGTGAAGTCATAAAATCTAATTTTAAAGGTTGTTTGTTTCTATACTTCAAAGACAAATTTATAAAAATAATTGTTTTGTAGCCAACTGGGAAATATATAGCCAGAAGAAAATCTTTTTCTAACCAATCTAATATCGGGAATCAAATTCCAAAATGCTAATGATCCACTGTGATTGGGAAAGGGGCTCCTCGCATGGCGGCTCACATGTTACTTTGTGACTTTAAAGGACCACTCAACCAAGTTTATGTTTTTTGTGAGTCACAGGGGCGTTATTACTCTGACTGTAAGAAGAGTTGAATAATTTCTGTGGGCCTGGAGGAGCTTTGTCAAGTCTGAGAAAATGTACTCAAGTGACCCACTTCTGCTGCGGAGACTGTACTTTATCATCTGACTTCTGATGTTTTGGGATAAATTTTAATCTGTTTTCGTAAATTAGTTCCATTTATTATCCCATCGGAAATTCTCTTTGTGTCTGTGGAAATTGTCAGACAAATAAACAAACATCTTAGTGTTTAGAAAGATTAGTCGCATTCATATTTATGGATTTTTTTCTGGCTATTTATAGATATCTGGAATTGCACCTGGGTTTTCTTGAAGAGGCAAACTTTGGTTGAATCACAGATGTGTTGTTTATGTCTCACCCTGTGACATATTGTATATTGGGTTATACTGTCTTATATCTGTTTGTTGTATGTTGTTACTCTGTAACTCAATATTGTCATTCTCTTGGTCAGGACACATGAGAAAGACATTTTTAATCCCACAGAGGCCAAATAAATTCATAATCACTACACTTGCTATGGGCGGCTGTGGCTGAGGAGGTAGAGCGGGTTGTCCACTAATCAGAAGGTTGGCCGTTTGATCCCTGGCTCCTCTCGCTGCATGTCGAAGTGTCCTTGAGCAACATGCTGAACCACAAATTGCTCCTAATGCTGTGCCATCGCTGTGTGAATGAGTGAATGTGACATGTAGCATGAAGTGCTTTGAGTGGTTACTTTTTTGTTAAAAATAAATTTTCCGTATCTTGATAAAATTATTTTTGCTGGATGAGTCAATAAGACAAGGATCCAATCAGAGAATGCAGAGAAGTATTAAGCTAATTGTCATTACTCGCTCTCTCTCTCTCTCTCCTGCAGGGAGAGCGTCAGGACCCGGATGTCGTTGAGGAAAGAAACGCTCAGGTGCAGCTGGAGAAGGCCAAGGTACTTTCTCGATGTTTCATCATGGTGTCAGCCGACTCGAGAGAGAGGTCTGCTCTCAAGGACATGGTTACATCACAGACAGGAAACATCGGATTAGCAGAACAATATTCTTCTATTAAAATGAGTCACTGCAGTCTTCTTCCTTGTCATATGTGCTCAATGTCGGGAGAAGGAATGATTATTACTGACATACATACATCCCTTACTCAAGTAGAAATACAGAGAGATACAATATAAGTAGAAGTACTGATTCCACTTCTTTAGTAAGTAAAAGTGAAAAAGTACAGGCCCTGAAATGTACTCAAAGTATAAAAGTAAGAAGTACTCTCTTGGTTCCTCTGAAGGACGTTTTACCGGCTGTTTCGGAAACTTCAAATAGGGTTGAGTCTTCCTCTTTCGCCTGTTTCGTGTTGTTACACCATTTTTGTCATGTTATGTTTACCATGCGTGATGTGTAGTGGTTTTGATGTTGGGAAGGTGTTCAATGATGCAAAGAGGAGTCAGTCACTCAAGTAAAGTACAGTTTTTTTAGTGTCCTGAAAAGGTATTTCTTAAAAGTCCAGTGTGGAACATTTAGGAGGCCGTATTGGCAGAAAGGGTATATAATATACATGACTATGTTTTCATCAGTGTATTATCACCTGAAAATAAGAATTGTTATGTTTTTGCTACCTTAGAATGAGCCTTTTATACCTACAAACCAAACACTTTCATGCAGCCACCAGAATATCTCTTTCACACTTGGAAGAGGAGGGTGAAGCGAGGGAGGGATCTGCAACTACACCACTAGAAATAACTAAATCCTACTCACTGGTCTTTTAAAAGCACTTTGAAATCAAGTCAAGTTATTACAGGCGACTATTACAACCTCTTGAATGAAAATGTTGCCAGGACGTCCCCTGTATTGCTATCACTGTTATACAGAGGGCCGGGTATTCACTTTTTTTCTTTCTGTTGACATAATGACCACAAAGTATACAAATATATCAGACTATCACAGCTGATATCAAACTGTTCCCCTCTCTTTTCCTTTCAAACATTGCCTGCTTGATACATGTCCCACTGAATATTGAATTAAATCCTCCCCCACAGATTTAATGTGCTCCCACTTGTGCTCTGTAATTAAGGCGGCAAAAACCCTCGGCCCGTCCCCTGCTGACCCCACAGCCTCTACCACAGCCTCATCTTTCCAAAGAGGAGTAATTAGCAGCTTGATCTGCATGCCGCTGACATTTGACTCTGATAGGATTACAACTCGAACAGGCATTCAACCAGAAGGAAGCATGCTGTAGCTACTGCGCAGCAAAGAGAAAGATGCAATAGGCCTTTTTCACAGCAGACACTTTGATTTGTAATAGAAGGAAACAAGCAGATGTCACTAATAACATTAACAACAGCTCCATTTTATTCAAGTGCCCCAGTAAGACATTACAGTGTGACAGTGATTCAACAATACCAAAAAACCTAATACCTGAAGCCGCTTAATGGATTCATTAAGTTTATTATTGACTCTTGGCTTAGTCAAACTAGTCAAAATGTCATTTTTGTAATTTTTTTCAAAAAGCCATTACGATTTCGCGTGTTGTGAAAGATACAAGAGGAGTGTTATTGTCAAGTCAGTTTATTCATAGAAGACATTTAAAAACAACAAATATCAATATAGTATTTTAGAGAGAAATAATGGAATCCCTCTCTTACTACGACACCCATGTGTATAAAGCATTATAATACATTATAGTACATATACTTTTAATGCATTATCCAACTATAATTATAGTTATAAGCACTCATACATATTCATCAAGCTTTATAACAATAAAAATAACACATTATAAAATATTTAAGAATTACTTTAGACCAAGTATCCTAATAGTTCACAATTGCTGGTTACTCACTGAAACTTTTTATTTTGCCAAGGTTCATAATATAATTCTTATAGTTGTAATATAACCATTTTACAATGCATTAAAAGCCCAATTATAATGCATTATAATGCTTTATAGACGTTTTAAAATAATGTCAAAGATAGCATATTCATATTCATCAATAAGCAAACTGAATCCTAAATCTATCCACATATCCCTGGCTCATTTAAATAGCTTTGCTATGGTCTGACAACTGTCACAATGCTCATTTTACACTGCATTAGCCTGCACAGTTGTATATGTGCACATGATAGCAGTCAAAGCTGACGAGTGTTGCTGACACAGTGTCCAATTGGTTTTATTTTAACTTCATGATAATGACATAATGGGATTAATCCAGTATTCGTAGGCACTTATTACCAAAACACAGCCGTTAGCCTGTCACTAACACTCGGAGTAGCCACAACAACCTGTAGCTTCAGTTCAAATTGATTAGATTATCAGGCCGTGAATAACTTGATCTAAATGAGCTGCTAGGATTTAATGCACTTTATTGATTTTGGATGTTTAGATACTTGCTTGATTGTTGCTTATTCATCAATGTGTTTTTATCTTTAATATCCCTCAGACATAATGTTAATAATACTTTTAATGCTATATTGTGTTTGTATCTTTGTGGGTACAAATTAATAATTTTAGAGCACAATTTATTAACTTTGTGTCCAATTGTTTTTTTCTGTATTCTATACACTGGTTAGGTTCTGTATATTTGCAATATCTTATATGTTTTTTCAAATACATTTTTGCATTCATTATTAACGTCTCTTAAATAAGGACAGTCAAATAGCTGTTTTGTCCCACTGTGGCAGTAGGGAAAATGTGTGTCTTCATTAGTTCCAGTTCTCCTATACAATATCATTATTATTCCTGGTTGTGGGGAAGATTGTTTTCAATGTGTAGATTCATTATAATGTATGTTATTAATCGTAATTGACTGAAAAATGTATCCTTTTTTGTGTGAAAATGTATACGTTGGTGAAATGTAAGGATTAAAGGTGACTGTGACATGCATAAGTAATATTATTTTGTATGTCCTCTGTCCCCAGTACAAACCTGTGGCATTCGCAGTACGTTGCAACTTCTCTTACACTCCAGCAGACGACGACAACGTTCCTGTACCGGGCCAGGCCGTCACCTTTGAGGCCAGAGATTTCCTCCATGTCAAAGAGGTTTGAAACACACACACTCACATCACGGAGTCTCATAGAGGTGGAATTATTACAAGGACTATCCGTTAGGGCTTGACACTCAGAATTAATACATTTCTATTGAAGCAGGTGGATATAAGCCTTAAATGCACTTTTTTTTTTCTTTGTAATGACTAGAAGTTTAACAATGAGTGGTGGATCGGACGGCCAGTGAAGGAGGATGGTGTGGTGGGCTTCATCCCCAGTCCAGTCAATCTGGAAACCATTCTCATCAGGAGAGAAGTCCAGGCGAGGAAAGCTGCCAAGGCCTTAGCCAAGTATGTTTGACTTTTCCAGTAGCTTCAATACAACAGGGTTACGAACAAGCACACAAGCCCATGCTGTAGTGTGCTGACTTATCTTGTAATCCTAATAATAATCTTTATTGGTCCAGCACACGTACAAACAAAACATCACTACAGAGTGAAATACAGAGGATTATATGACATTTTAGGTATTCAGCTGATGCTCTTTGAAAACATCCACAGATTAGTCAAACTGCATTTTGACCAGAGAGGTGTTATCAGTGTGAAAGGGTCACACCAGGAATTGTTTTGAGGATAGAAGCAAAGCAAGCGTGGCTGGATTAAACCGCAAGGGTGCACTATGGGAAAAATGAGGGCCCCAACTGACCCCCTTCTCTGCCACTCTCTGTGCATTAGTGTACTAAAAATACAATGCACACAGCTACATTTTTGATCTGGTTCTTTATTAGAAAAATACTTAAACCAGCTACAAGGAACTTGTAGATTATGGCGGCCCCTGTGGACAAAAGGTGTTAGTGTTTCCACCGCCTCATTTAATTGATTTCAAGGGCATGGCAGGCATTAAGAATAACTTCATAGAAATAGTCAGTCCTCTTGCTGATAGTCTTGCTTGTTTATGTAGATAATATAGAGGCATCAGTATTAAATTAAGACTGTTTCATAACCAGTTAAAAACTGGAATAGTGGTAGGTTTAAAATTTTAATCTCAAGTAATCAAAATTATATTACCAATTACTACATGGCAAAAGTAATGCGTTACATAACCTGTTACTTAAGGTAAGGTTGTTATTCATGGGTCACAGGGTCAGACTTTGTGAAACCTCACTATTGAAGATAATTCCTGTATACACTAAATATTTGTACAACTGCAGTAACTTTTACATGTGCACAAAATATTTTCACACATGCACAAAATATTTTTATATAATAATCTATATCTCTCTATGTATTATTATAATCATGTCTTACCCTCGGATGTGTAAAACCTACAGGTTATCAACTTATTTTTAAATGATAAAAATGTGAAATTATCGGTTATCTTATCAGTATTGGCCATGAGAAGCAGGTAGTTATCGGTTATCGTGCATCCCTACTTACAGTATATTGCTGATGATATTTGTCTTTTTTCAATACATTTTCTAGCGTTTTTGACGCATTAGTATTTATTTCAGCGTGGTATAAAATTAACTTTCAAAGATGTGAAAGTAGAATGAGATTCAAAAGTAGGAATGTTTCCCTTATGTTCAGTCAGTGGGTTGTTTTTACTCTAATCAGCCTGGCAGGCATGAAAATCCACTACAGACTTAGAGATTTTGACTTGACCCAGTTAGGCTCAAAGAAACACATCTAAAGGATCTTGGAAATTTGGCTTTGGTTGCAACATTGTGTGCTGAATCACTTCAAGGGATTTACCCTCTATGTTTTATATATCTGTGTCTTATAGAAGTAGATATACAATGAGTAAGAACAAATTATTATATTGCATAGAAACAGAGTGCATAGAGAGAGTGTGTTCACTGCGACTGAAACGTTGACATTTACGTAGACTGTAGAGACGGACCTGTTTGTCTCTGTTTTTAGTGGGAAAGATCTGAGCTAATTTAGGACTGTTCTCTCATTTTAGCAAAGCATCAAATCAAGTAGCTCAAGATATGAACTCAAAGAAATATACTCCTCCATCACAAGGTCAGTGTGTCTGCTAAAACGTGTACAAATATTTATTGTTGTCTATTTTTCTGATTATTGGTGAGTTAACATTAGATGCCTCTCTCATCCTTCTGTATGAACAGCCAATCAGCAGGTGAAAAAGAAACCAGTAAGTACCTGGAGATTTGTAATATATTCCACATCAGTCTATAAAAAACCTTGGATTATAAACAGCTTTATAAAACAATAGAATAACAACTCAAATGTCATCAGTGTTCACTTCGTTTGCACTGCAAGCAACATGTTGGCGGGTGTTAAGATTGAGTGTGACTAATAGGACAGGCGCTTTGGTGTTACTTTCTATAGCATTTTTTCCTGTGTTAACATGGCGAGGAAGAGAGTCAGACGCTGTTGAAGGCTCCAGCAAAAGTCTTAGATAACTTTTTAAGTTAATGTGGAGATATTATTTTTAGAGATATTATTTTTATGCTCTAGCCAGTATAATGTGACATTTCTCGTGAGGTGAAAAACATCTGTAGCATTAGCACTACTTTGCCTGCACTATAAAGTATAAAGGTTGCATCTACTGAATGTAATTCCACATCTGTTCTATATATTCATTAAACCTGTAAGTAACTGTTATATACATTATTAAATAATCTGTCTTTTTTTTTGGTAGTCAAAAATATATTAAAAAATGTTAAAGAATTAATTGGTTAATTAACTAAACATTTTAGGTCTGATACAGTTCTGCTCCTGTGTCTCGTGTGAATGACCAGTGACTGTGTTATGACAGCAGTATGAAACATGGGTTAAACTTCACCATCAGAGCTTGTTTACTGAAGATAAGATCCATTTAGAATTATTGAAGGAATCTGAGGCACTTAAGAGGGCAGTGATATAATAATAATTAAAAAACATGCCAACACGTTTCAAATATTAAGCAGCAACAGACAAACAGAGAACTTATATACAAAACTTTAAGGGCCATTTATCCGATGATGGATGCAACTGTCCTGTTCTTTTTGTCACTCTATAAAAAAAATAAACTTTTCAATAAAAAGTGATTATGATCAAATGTTGCTTGCAATATAAACATTCATCCACAGTCACTCACCTTTATCTCATATACTGAATAAAACTTTCTTTGTGGCCGTAGGGGGAGCAGGTGGCTATGTATGATGTAGTGCCTACAATGCGTCCTGTGGTTCTAATGGGACCATCACTGAAGGGCTTAGAGGTGAGTCTGCCACACTCTTAATGAGTTTCCTTCGACTTGTGAAGGATCTAATATGCTGTAAAGCTGAGAAACACTAATCTAGTATCTCAAATAAACAGTGGTATTTTGTGTTAAACTTGAATAGAGAGTAATTTCATTTAAAATCCATGTTTCCTGTCTCATTCCAGGTTACAGATATGATGCAAAAAGCACTATTTGACTTTTTAAAACATCGATTTGAAGGCAGGTATGTTCTGATTTAAGTCCTCAGTGTCACATCTCTTGTGTGGAAATAAAAACATAATGAGAATCGCGACTGTGTAACAATCCCTGTTTCTCTGTCCCCCTCTCCAGAATTACTATTACACGGGTCACAGCAGACATCTCTCTGGCCAAACGGTCCATCCTCAACAACCCTGGCAAAAAGGCCTTAATGGACCGGTCGAACACACGCTCCAATTTAGGTACATCAGGGTTTATCACCCCAATCTGAAGCCAGTAGTTGTACCACTTTTATCTGTTTGGAGAGTAAAATGGTTGGGGTTTACCTCATCGGGACAATTCAGATAGTATCAGTAACAGAAAAGTACACAAAATTGACTTCTAAAATAACTTCTAGTAATTGCCTTTACTTTCATGTTGTTCGTGTTTTGCCTTGTGGCAAACCTCACCCACTTGCAGCCCTAATTAGGTTAAAACAAGCAACTGATACTATCTGACCCAGGTCTGAAATTAATGTGTCAGACTTTCACTTTTTCATTATTTCATGCTTTATCTCTGCTCACAAGATCTTTATACCTAGATTATCCCTTATTTAACAGGATAATAATGTTACAGATTGTTGTATGCACTGCATTGATGACACAATACAGACAAAATAATAGTTAGACATTTTGGGAGATAAAGATAAATAAAGAAAACAGGTTGACGTAAGTAGATCGCTGCATTGTGTCTGTAAAGATTGTATGGTGCTTAGTGGATGGGTCTTTGCCCCGGTGACATTGTGCTGTATAGGCTAAGTTTAATTCTACCTTATTTAATATTTAAAGAAAAGATGGGTGTCAAACAGAAGTGGGATAAGATTTACTTGGTTTTCTCTACTCTTGTCTTTCTCATTGCTCTCTCATTATCCCAGATGCTGCTGGTATGTATGACTGAAAGCACTGGTAGTCCATGTCTGTTTGAATGCTCCACCTTCCTTCATTTCTTTCTTTCATCACTTCACATCACTACCAACAGCCACTGTTTCATGTGTAGAAATACACAGGAGCTGGCACAAGCAGATGTTCTTAGCTGTTTATATGTTTAGTGGGCTAATAGTAGGAATGTAACAATATGTTGTGAAACAGTTAAATCCCAATGCAAATATGGTAAGATTTAAAACAGTTAGATCAGGTGTCTCAAACTCAAACTGGCTTGGCCCCACTGCTCTTATTGTCACCTCATACATCAATCTTCAATGTACTAATTCAAGTACTTCAAGAAAGCGTAATATTTCTGAAACTATTATGAAACTATTTCCATTCACTTAGATCAAAAAATGCAAACAGCATTTTCCATAAATTTTTATTTATTATTTTTGTTTGTAAAGCCCCAAATCTTGCTCTCTTCTTATCAACCCTTTGCACGCATTTGCAGGCTTTCTTTTGCCAATTTTTTTGTGCCAGAGAATTTTTTTTTGTTTTTATTTTAATTGTATACGAAATGGTAGTTTCAATTGATATGAAACAATTAGAAGAAAAGAAAAATCTTGCAGCCTAGACTATTGTATTTTTGGCATTATGTCGCAGGCCAAAGGGAGGGGTGACGCTTTTCTACTATCTATCTATCTAGTGGCCAATCTTTAAATTACACATCCTGGTTAAGAAAATAAGAAACACATCACTTATTCAGGTAGTCTCATTAAACAGTTTTTCATCATAGGCCACATTTACAGATTTTTCACAACTGTATTTTTCGATTTGTCTTGTTTTCTACAATAGAATACAAAATATGACATGTTGTTGTTTGTTTGTTTGTGTTTGTTGTGAATAATTAAGATGCAGAAAAGGGTTGTTTGATAGTTACAAAAGCAACATGCAATTTTGACAACACAAGCTCTCCACAAGGTCGATTTACTCTACTACTACTACTATTCCGTATATGGAGTTTCCCGCTTACCATGAAATTATAGATTGTAGATCAAATTTCCATTTTTTCGGAGCACTTAAAAGACTTCTCATCCATGTTTGCTTCCTCTGCTGTGGAAGATTGTGTGATGCAATCGAAAGCTCCACTACGGCTGTCACAGTAAATAGTCATGTGGTGAGATTATTTTGTCAACTTCTGTTTTAAACATGAACTTTCTGTGTGGGTCTAACCTTCAAAATAAAAGATTTCTGATTCCTCATTTCTGCATCTGGATTTAATAAAATAGAGAAAAGCAAAACAATCCTCTGGCAATGAAAATACATACATAATAAATAATACATACATATTTGTGAAATTATAATACAAAGTTATGCGTCAATGATATGAAAATATCTACTGTCAGTTTAGGAGTCAACTGTGAGATGTGGTATCTTGTTTTAAATGTTAACTGCACACAATTAATGGACCTTAGGTGTCAAAGTCATGCTTTTACTCTCTGCTGTTGCAGCCCAGATCCAGGGTGAGGTGGAGCGAATCTTTGAGCTCGCCCGCAGCCTGCAGCTGGTGGTTCTAGATGCAGACACAGTCAACCACCCTCTCCAGGTGGCCAAGACCTCCCTGGCACCGATCCTAGTCTATGTCAAGATCTCATCACCAAAAGTAAGCTTCACCAGAGAACTTGCTCCTTCTTAAGGACTAACTGCTCCTCAATATATTGTACTGTGTGTACACAATCCTGTTAAATGAGCCACTTTAACCCCTTTTTCTTTCCCTGCTTCTTTTTTATCCCCCTTCTCTGAACTTCTGCTGTGTAGGTGTTAACAAGGTTGATCAAGACTAGAGGGAAATCACAGACCAAACATCTTAATGTTCAGTTGGTGGCAGCAGACAAGCTCGCCCAATGCCCCTCGGTGAGTGCCATCTAGTGGCCGCTGGCTGAAATTGGTGCAGTGGTAGTTAATGTTCAGTAATACTACATTTTATCTGGAATACATGGACTGTTATCATGTCATGTTATACATTTAAACATTTCAGTTGTTCAACAGTATACATTTGGCTTTGTGTCTTGTTAAACTGGTAATTGGGAAATGGGAATTTAGGGGGTTTAGCAACTTGGGGGGAATTTATATTCTACAAAATGACACATGATGGGTATATCTTTAGGCAGAATCCAGTATTTTTAGACTGTGTATTTAATATCTTCTATTAGGCAAAAAATAATGTGAGGGAGAGCAGCACTGACAACATTTAGGCCTTCATGTAGGGAAATAAAACCTTAAATCAAACAGCGAACTGAATGAATAAAATATGAGAAATTTAGACTTTTCGCTGTTGCTGTCCATAAATTACCTCAATGTTTTTAAAATTCTGCTTTTTTGCATACTATTGATTAGTGTTATAGAGTAAAATTCAGCATATTAGCCTCTGATGACACTGAATGGTCAGTTTTATAGAGAGAGAAACTTAACTGTTCATGTGGGTGTTCCTCTTTTGAGATGACTTTATTTCCTTACATTTCCTTATCTGAATCTCATTGCAAGACCTAATTCATAGACTTACATGATTACCAGAAGAGTGTTTTTTTAAAGCCCACACACACTTCTGCCACTTTATCGATGGTGTCACAGTTTATATTTTAAACTGCTGTCTCAGTTACAGGTTAGTCCTTTGTTTGTTTCCTACTGTTGGCTTTTTATAACCGTCCTTGTTCTCTTTTTCTTGTAGGAAATGTTTGATGTCATCTTAGATGAGAACCAGCTAACTGATGCCTGTGAGCACATTGCTGATTATCTGGAGTCTTACTGGAGAGCCACTCATCCACCAGAGATGGAGCCTGCCAACGCACTAGTGGCTCAGCTGGCTGAGAATACACTGCCCACCAGTCCTTCAGCAATACCGGTACACAAATTACAGACACATACATGGGAAGTTATAGGATATAATATCATTTTTATATTGTCATCTCATCTCATTCCACTCATCTCATCTGTACAGTCTGTTGAATGTAGAACAACTGTTTGTATAGTAAATTATGAGCTCAGCGAGAGTGTTTTATAGACAGAGGAACTTCACGGTGTGCTGCATGCATCTGCATTTGTTTCCATTCATCTAACATTTTCATTTCATTTCTCCTCATCCTACTCCATTGTAAAGTTGAAGAAGAAATGAGATAGGTCTGCCTCTGGTGAGTGAGATAAATTCAATTTCTGCTGAGTTTTCACCAATGCACCGCAGTAATAGAGATGACGTCTTTAGAAATAGATAGCTAGAAAAAACATCTGTTTACAAACAATCCAGGATGCAGAGAATACATTGTTAATTATATGTTGTGATAACTTATATGTGGATTTTATTTTTATTATTTAGAAACTGAAAACTGAATTTACTTTTTACATATTTATACTGCCCTCATCGTTGCATTTCTAAAACTTTCTTGATAGAAATAGGTGTGCTAGCTATCAAGTTATCAAAACAACTCTAAAAAGTTAAAACTAGATCAGCTAATTAATAGTGAAAATAAACAGCTGTGGAGAAGCCTGGGGCAGCATGTGTGTGTGTGTGTGTATTTCCATGTGAGTAATTGCACAGGGCAGCACTGAGTGACCCAGGGTCCCATGATAAAACTGAATATTATCATCCAAAAATACTCAAATTGCCTCTGGTGTGATTGCCAGTTTTAGGCTCTTGAGGACCAGCTGCCTCCCTAACAGCAGCTGTGTATGTGTGTGTATGTGTATGTGTGAATGTGTACATATGGACAGTGTAGGGAGTAACGTGTTAAAAAAGTAATGTATTACTTTGTTACTATGTCAAGTAACCAGTGCCTAAACTGGATGAGAAAAGGTGCCAGTACCCTAATTTAGGATAACCCTAACCACAACATAACCATTTAACCATAAGGGCATTTTCAGCGCTGTGCTAAGCTTTGTTTTAGCTGTGTTATTTACAAAGGTTTACTTCTGTTCCCTACTCATATTCCACCCCGGCTCTGCCTCTAATTAGTTCTGACTTTTTTTTCTAACCATAACAATCTCACTCTACTGTGTTACCACCTATTTGTTTATTTTTTTTTAAAAAAGGCTTGTCTATTCCATTGTTTAATATCATCACACTATAAGTGGGCGACTTTAATACAAAATGGGGACCACTGCATGTGAATGAATTGTCAGATCTGCATTTCCAGTCTTGCAAAAGTAGCGTAATCAGGAATAGTACATTTGAAAGTAACTTGACCAACTCGGTTTTTGTGTTAAACTAAGTTTTCTATAAATGCGTGTCATTACATGGATGTATTTGACGATTACGTTGTACTTTTCTGTCCTAGGATGGGCAGAAAAACAAGAAGTCGGCTGCCCCCAAGAGGAAGGGTTCTCGGGAGAACCATCTAGACCAGGATCCCCCTTCAGCCCCAGCACAGGAAGAGAGGGCTGAGGAGGGCCAAAGAGAGGAGGAAGAGCGTCTCCTGAGGACTGAACCAAAGAGACCCCAGCACACCCACCACAATCACCATCACCACCACCATCACCGCCGTGTGGAGCATCACAGCCACACTCAGCACAACCAAACATCCGGTGCCATGGAAGTACAGTCGAGCAGGGATTATAGCCAGAGGCTGCCACGCAGGCACCTGCCTGAGGAGAGGGAGGAAGAGGTGGAGGATGTGGTGGAGGAGGACGAGGAGGAGACTCGCTATAACCACCGGGGCCATAACCACCACCATCACAACAGCAACCATCACCACCATCACCACCACCAACATCACCGTGGGAACAGCCAGCCACACGTCGGGGAAGACTATGAGCAGGAGCACAATGAGCGCAACCGGCAGCACAGGCACCACCAGCATATTCCACCACGGACACACCAGAAGGATCACTATCCTGCACACAATCATCACAACTACCACCACTACCACGGCAGAGACAGGGACAGAGACAGAGACAGAGACAGAGATAGAGAAAGACACAAGGACAGGGTAAGAGACAGAGACAGGGACAGAGATAGGGACCGAGGCAGAGATAGAGACAGAGATGCTCGACAATGGCACAGGGACTCCTATATACACTAGTGACTGTGTTGTTTCTTCCGTGGGTTGGTGCATGGTTTCTATGCTGCTCAAGTAACAATGCACTAAAGGATGGGGCAGAGTGGTGTGTCATCTTAGTAGACAATGTTTCTCCTCGTATTGTTTGCCATTTTTTTTTATTATTCCCCTCTGCCACTCATGCTGACACACTTTCTCCTTTCTTGTTCTTCACCCAAATGAATATTATCTCTTTTGTCTGTCTTATTTTCACATGGCTCTATCTGTGTGTATTTTTGCACAAACATTAGTCAAGATAAATGCAACAGCGTGCTCATGCTGCATCTGTTCTAAAGGTTTTCATTTTGCATTGGTCACACAAATGTAAGGAAGCCAAGGACGGTCACGGTTGCTGTTATCTCAGGATAAAATGTTTGTTTTCTTGTGATAACAGGATAAGTCAGAGTTGCTTGTACACTTAGCTAAAACTAATGCTGTGTAATGCAACAGTCCAGCAATATATCCTACCTTCATAAAGGTTATTATGATCAGTTTTTGTGTTGAATTGTATTGCATTGTTTCTGTTTATGAGGCTCTAGAAGCACTTCACACCAGTTGACGTCTGGGCGTAGTTCTGACTGTGCAAAGTGAGAGACAGTAGACGAGAGTCTGCGATAGAGGGGGCCTTTTTCACACTGTTATTCAATTCAACAGCGTCTCAAACTACATCGTCCAAAATGACCATCCAGATGAATCAATACCTAGCTAGGTATACCTAATAAACTGGCAACTGACTGTATTTTGAGAAAAACAAAACATCCTCTTCCTGAGATGTCTCTAAAAAAACAAGTTATTTTCCCAACATAGCAAAATAATTATCTTGTATATCGATGTTCAAACTATAATTAAAACTATAACTAAATAATTAGTCGATTGTGACATAATAATCAGCAAATATTTTAATAATTGATTAATCGTAATCATCATCTTTTCTAGAAAAAAAATTATAAATATAATTGTAAATTGGATTGTCTTTGGCTTTTGGACTGTTGGTCGCACAAAACAAGCAATTTTACAATTTTATTTCACCTTTTCATTGTTTTTGATGTTTTATAAACTAAATGGTTAATTGATTAATCAAGAAAGTAATCAGCAGATTAATGGATAATGAAAATATTTAGTTGTAGCCCAAAACTGGTTATCATGAAAAAAAAAAAATCTCTGTTATCTGGACATAATAAAATATTTAACTTAAAATAAAATAAAATATTTAAAACTGTTCTCGGCTTCCATACAATGAATGCATTTTATAATTTGTGTTTCTACAAACGACGGGAAGTTTTGTCTAATCCAATTGTCAAATAACTGTGGGGAACAACGGACGTTTGTGTTTCAGTGTCACACCTGACTCTGCCCTCGTGTTTAAATTGGTGTATATCTTCAAAAGCAATTTACAATTTATTTTAAACATTGGTAAGGAAAGTCAAACTATTTTTCTATATAAATCTAAAGGGAAGTCATACTTTGCTTCCTACTTTTTTAAATGGTGTTCAAGCATACTTATTGACTTGCATCTGCTCTGTCTGGAAGCATGAAAAATATTTTGGTGACACTGACCTATGCTATATGCTGGATACTCTATGCATCTTCTTGTGATAAAATATATTGCTTGAATACAATCTCTATGCATTTGTACATACTTCATAATTGCCTTGTTAGGTAAATGTAAGGAGAACCAGAGAGCCTGTTGCACTGTTTGGTAGAACTTGACCTACTGTGTATGATTGCTTTGAGGTGATGAGACTGAATTGACTCTGTTCCTTTCCAAATGATTTGTTTTGGTTATTTTTGTTTTGTACAGCATTCAGAAGTTAATTTTGACAAATGTGCATTCTATTGTTGAAATGTCATTAAAATGTAAAACGAACACTGTGGTAAGTGACATTTTATATGAAGATGTCAGCACCTACTTCACCTTTTCCTGTCCAGACCACTAATATTCTCCCTGATATAATTTAAAACTGAAACGTATCCCATCTCAAAGCAGACAGTGAAAACATAAAACCAGTATACCAATTAAACAAACCCCTGTTTACAGTCTTTGAGCCAAGCTAAGCTAACCTGCTGCTGGCTGACGGATATGACAGTGGTACTGATCTTTTCCTAAATACTGACTACAAACAAGTAAGTCTTGTGGTTTTGCTATGTGTTTGAGAGGCTTTAAGCCCTGTACCTTTATTCTGTTCAGTCCAATTTACAGAGGAGCTTGGGAGATTCCCAGCAGGCAGGTCGATTTAAACCTGTGACCACTCATTTTGCTGGCTAGCCAGTTTGGCAGCATCACAACCCCATAGTGTGTCTCAGCTCCATTACAGTTAATTTGTTGAGAAACAACCTTGACGGAGACATTAACTATTCTGACATAGTCGGTAGGAGTTGTCAATTCAGAGAAGAGTCCAGGAGAAAAGGATCTACTTTGGGTGAGAAATTAGATGGGAAGCATTGAGGTTTTTTCCAATTCCTAGAAACATTGCCTCATTTGTACCAGAAGGAGGTTTATACTAAAATCAGTTTATGTCAAGATAGTTCAGTCACACTTAAAACTTCTTTTGGCCACTTGAGGGCATTAAAACATAAAACACAACATTAGCAGCAGATTTAGGTTGTAATTTTTCAGTGACCGCTCATACAGTGTCAGTTGATACACTGTTAGTGTACATTGTATTTAGCCACTTTAAATCTATATAAATTTAATATGATAGGTTCCTGCATATACAGTACACAATGTTTTATCCAGTTTAGCATAATTATGTAGGCTACATACAATAAATACATTTAAAAAAATCTAACACTGTCTAGGAAACAATATATTCGACATACAAGTGTCCCTTTCGGCAACAAACCCAGACACAGACCCAGACCCTACAATGCAGTTTTCCCATCAAAAATTATCCAAAATTACTAGAAACAGCCTACTATTATAAATCACTATGACTTTAATAAAAAAGACTGACTTTGTTTATATACTTTATACTGTCAATGGTGACAACAGGTGCTTCTTACTGTGTTGTCAGGAGAAGGCCTTCCTCACTTTTTATTGTGTTTCGATAAAATGTATGAAACAGCGCCCCCGGGGTGAAACGGCTTCTTAAACGACATCCAGTCTGTGTGGAGAAAGATGGTATTGCACCCTGAGCTCCTTTCTGATAGGGATCTCAGGTGAAGTTGGCATCCTTTGATTAAAAGTATTAGCACAAACTAGATGCGCCAGCGAATAAGTATCTGGAAAAGAAACCCTGAAGTGAATTGTGAAGCCAGTTATAATCTGATCTCATTGAATTCAACTCATTTGAAGGGAAATAACTGGGAGAGTTAACGGCAGCGTCGGTTAGCCTGTTTTCCAGTATTGCTAATGATGGAGTGCACTGGGACATTAAATGTCATTAATACTTCATCTCCACGTCGGGAAGGACAATGAATTTCAACTAACGTGAGTCAGATATAACTTGTATAAATCTGTGTGTCTCAGCAGCTTTCTCTGTGTTTGTGTATTTAACCCCTAGCTGTGTTTTTGTTGTTGTTGTTGATTATGGAGGTCATATTTTGTGCTGTTGAGTTATAACTGCAGGGACAGACCCTGAAGGATTGTGTTATAATTTGGGGGGATTTCTCAATATTTTTTGCATTCATTGGCTCTGTCACCTGTTGCAGAAGATCTGTTAGTTACCTGTGAGGGTAGCTTATTCTTTTCTTTGTGTCTTTAATCTATATTTTTGTATTATAAGTCCTTAAAAACAACAACAACAGTGTTTTATATTATACTTTACCCCTGTATGTTCTTGTGCAAGCACCATTGGACCTGCCTGAAATTGTGAGGTGTAAAATTTGGTATTTATTGTTTGTTTGTTTGTTTATTTTGAGAGAACTGCTGTGGTATGTGCAGTGAGCTCAATGTAAAGCTCTTGGTCCTTGAGAAGCAAGCCCTGTTTCATTCTTGCATTCCGACTTTTGGAGTTCACTGTTTTTTAATATAGAGTGTTAATTTCACCTCCCACACTTCTCCCCCTGGACTCCCAGTGTAGGGAGGGTGTAGTACGAGCACCAGTTGTCCCTGCAGTGGTTGTTTGTTTGAACCAAACAAAAACCAGAGGCCTTGTTAGTCTGTAGTTGAAATGGTGAATCTTTAGAGAGAGAAAATGTTGTAGAAGGACCCAGAAAAATCCATGAAACAACTGTACAGTGTGTCACTGGGGTTGTTTAGGTTGTGGCTAATACGATTTTATATTATTTGGACAACAATACTGACAGTATTTGCAGAGTTTGCACACAACAACACAGTTACAACCATCCCATGTCTGCAAAATATGGATACAAAAAGTAAAACAGCAGTAACAAATATACAAAAATGTATACAACACAGGTGACCTCACACTGACAACATACACAATGACACACGGTAATGGACACAACTAAATTATTTCACTAACACATAACTAAACTAAAACTCAAAATGAAACATTCCTATACTTTGCCATCAGAAACCAAACATTGTAACTCAAAAGGAGCACAAAGGCTGGTTCCTTATTAGAATTCTTGTGAAATGATGATTCACACTTATTCTAGATAAAGCGTTGGAAGATTCTGTGTAATTTCAACTTCACTGGGCAAAGTATGGCGCAATATTGGCAACAGGAAAACTAACACAAATACAGACTTATGTCTTCATAAGTGAATACTGGACCTTCTCGAGAATTAATAGTCAGAAAGTCCCAAATGCTATGAATCTTTTTGTGGTTAAATGATTTTTTGTGTATCATCGAAGGGCTTGTTTGATCATTTAATGGTTGGACTGTAGAATACTTAGAGCACAGACAAAGACCGATGGATGCCCTGTCTCATACTGTCTCTTATCACTTAATGTCTCTTTACTGCGGATTAAGGACACGTTACCCTCTCTTGCAGTCAGGAGATGAATGCCACTCCACAACACTGCGACAGTACAGCTGAACATATTGTGCTCAAAGTCTTTTTAGGGTATATTCCTGAAAGAGAGGTTTAGTAAAAACTCTGAGACAAATATCTGGTATTTGAAGCTAACCTGTTCGCTGGCAGGCTTTCTTCAACAAACCCAGAGTAAAATAATTTCTCCCTGGGATTATTTATTAAAGTATTTCTGATTCAGAGCCCCGGACATGCTGTTTTATTTGCTAATCGATTCAGTCCATATCAAAGCGTGTTTTGAAGTGCATTAATACCAGAGGTTTACTGCCAGAATGAATTGTGCTGCCCTAATATGTATTTGTCATCAGGTATCATTAGTACCACTTTAAAGACCTAAATGATGAGTGTAGTATTAACCACGACCTAAGCTCGGAAGTTTAGGTCCTTCTGGACTGTGACTGACAATAAATTACATTTTCCACTTTTTTTAACAATTTTAATAACAGCCTTAACAAAATCCTGTCTAATAACATAAGGAAACACTTCACACACACCTCATTGTCAGATTTTAATTAATTTTCTAAATACTACAGACCAAAAATGCAGATTTTCTCAAACTTCTGTTTGAGAAAGTTTTGTTAAAAAACAATGCCCAGCTGTTTTGGAAATTAAGAAACAAAGAAACCATTTATTTGTGAATTTATTTATTTTTTTTAATCCTGTCATCAGTAGAACACAAATGGGCGTGGGGCAGAGTGCCACAGACATAGTAGGGACGTTGGAAAGTACTAAGAGTTCGGCCATTGTTGGTTTGGATCTTTTCATGGGATATGTTGACAATAAGAAAAATACCTTTAATACCTAAATATTACCATTTACAAGCCAGGCTAAATTTGTTTAAAACCAGAGGTCATCCAAGCCATTCAAAATTGAAAGATACTGGAGGGAAAACACAATTAACTAAAGCTGTTTGCTCTTTCTCTATAAAATGATTATAAACTTTATTAAGGCATACATTAGAAGCCATCAGAAGAATGGATAAAGCTCATGTAACTTCAAGAAGGATGAAATGCAGTAATGATAATCATCTGTTATATTTAGTGTGTTGTTCACATATAATTAGACATTACAACTCTTGGTTTCACACATCAAATATTGAAATACACAGCACTTAAATTTTTACACAGTTAAAAGAGGCTCGGGGTTTTCTTCCTCTGCATTCTCTACCAGTTTGTTGGTGTCAACCACTCCAGGTTCCAACTGCTCGTTATTGAAGAAGAGCGGGTTGTCAAAGGTGGTTAACTTGTCAATGACAGGTAAGCGATGACCCTTCTTCTTAAAGATGAACAAGGCGATGACCGCCCCAATGGCAATCGCAGTAATGACCCCCACAACTACCAAAGCCATGTGGCCTCGGTGATGAATGAAGAGTACTGCACAGATTGAAAAAGCAGATGATGATTATGATCAGCCAAAGAATTTAGTCACAATTTTTACCGATATAAATAAGATAAAGTAAACTTACCATGTGGTTTTGTTGGTAATGGCGTTGGTGGTAATACTAAAGAGAAAGAAGGGAAATGTGACAATTGTACACTAAAATCAAACTACATAATATTAGCCGGATATTGGCCCAACCTGACAGATGGGAACAAAAATTAGCATTGGGGTTGACAAATGCTTAGTTTTCCCGAATAGTGTGTCATTGTGGAAGATGGTTGAGGGTTGGGTGATTAGATTAATATATTGGCTATCACTTAATCTAGGAATGAAACAATATAAAGATATACATTTAGTCCACATAAGACGATGAATTTTACCTTTGGGTGTTTTGCAGATGTACGCTCTTTTATTCCTTTCATGGTCGCCTTTCCATGTCCCATTTAAAGTGCTAATCACTGCGTGGATATGTTTATTAGGTTGTCCTTCACCCCAGTTTGTGTAGTCCATGACTGTCCTGTCTACCCACAACCACTCCCCTGGAGACAAATACATTTATTATTTTCCTCTTTTTTTCAGTTTTGTTTCATTTAATGCTCTCTTCTACTTAAACAAGATATTGCAACTTCATAGTTATCCTGATGTGCTTGTGCAATAACTTATAAATAAACAAAAAAAAACAATATAAAAACAATAAAAATGAACAATGAAAAGGAATAATTAAAAAAATATTATGTTAACTTTTTCTAAAATAACTGTGTGCATGTGTGTGTGTGTGTTTTCCTTTTATTAGTTGTTCATTTGTTAGTCTTTTCCCTCTCAGTGGCTAAATATTTGTTTTCATTAACAAGCAGACAATGTGACTTTACCTTTGTGAGTTTTATACAGGCCAATCCAGAAGGAGGCGTGGCTGTCTTGAAAGTCTCTTGCATTGTTTTGAATGAATTCTTGCTCAGAGGGATCTTCAATGCTGACTAGTGATCCACCTTCACAAAACAAAAAGTCCTTACTGAAGTCCTACATTCATTTAAGTGCCTGGAAATATCTTTTCAATCCACAGAAAGGACTTACCGTGTCTTGAACAGCTAGCAGATGCAGGTGCCCACTCTTTTACTTCAGTGAAAAATATGTAACAGTAACCTTTAAATGGTAGCCAGAAGTATTTCTTGCCTGTCCCAGATGTATCTGGGTCTTCGGGGCAAACTCCCGGGTAATCGGTTAACTCTTTTGGTGGCACGTCTGTGAATGAGAAACAGTATTTTATTTAGGGATGCACAATATGGATTTTGTTTTTCAGCTGATATAACTGATTTGACTGACTTTTGTATTATTAAAAAGTTCACAACCTATAGTTTTTACACACCAGAGGGTAAGAAAGGTTAAGATGCAGTGAGCAAAGATGGCTGATTTAGTTTTTGTGTTTGGCTTTTGTAGAACCTCAAACATTTTGCGTCAGAATTCAAAATAAATTGTTTTTAATATCAACCAATAAATTATGCTGCAATTTAATTATGACGATAATTTATACATGTATCTGTCCCGATAACTATTGTACATCCTTAATTGATTTATCTAAATAAACAATTAGTTGTGATTATTAACATTAACAATAATCATTAGACATACCGGTAGACTTTATGCAAACACTGTTCATGGTCTGGTTACAGTATGCGGTCTTCCATTTTCCATCCACATCTACGTAGACACAAGGTCTCTCCCTCATTGGTTCATCGTTATCCCAGCTAGTAAATTTCATGTGCCAGCCGTCGATATATCTGAAATACCCATCAGTCTGAAAGCAAAGATTAATCAAACCACATTCAGCTTTTCAACATATTTTTCAGCAACGTGAACAGCACGATTTAAGTTTTTACGGTAGTCAGTAGTTACAAACAGGTTAGTCATTTTGTGATGTGCTGTTTGAGAAGCTTTCTGCTCTGTACCTGCACTTTGTTCAGTCCAATCCACAGAGGAGCATTGAGATTCAAAGCCAGCAGCTCAACATAGGCCTGTAACCACTCATTTCGTATGTTAGTGAGTTTAGCGCCATCATTTTCACAGTGCTTCTTGGCTTCATCCCAGGTCATTTGTTGAGTAACAACCTTCACCGAGTCATTTAATATTTTGACATAGTCAGTAATTGTTGGTTCAGGGGAGTCTGGGAGATGAGGGTCTGTTTAGGGTGAGAAATTAGACAATTAAATGTTTCCATTCATCTTAAGGTCAGGTGCTCTCTGTTGTATATGCATACATGGTCAGAGTTACTATTCTTTTCTACTTCCCTGACACCACAAATTAAATTGGTCACACCTAATTAAAGAACTGTGCTGTTTGAATAGGCTGCTGTTTATTTTAGCATTGAAATGCAAACTAAATCATGATTTGGATTTGATCATTCAGTATGGAAAAGTTGCACAGCAGATCATCAGTTGCTTTGGTACAATTACTTTGGCTGGACTTCGGCTCAGACAGCTATGCGCTTTTCGATTCTGTAGCACAGCCATTAGAGCAGCTGACTGTTGAATGAATAGGGATTTCCAACATCTTTGATATGCCAACTTACGCACCACCTTAAACCTTCAATAAATTATATTTTTTTGGAAATAAGCTGTGAACAGAACTTTAACATATTACCATTTGATTTCTTATCTGTTATTTGCCACCTGGCCAATAAGTCCAATATTTATTCTCTTTTAGCTCTGTAGAAATCATGCTCCTTAGCATGATAACATGTTAATATGCTCCACAACCACCAGCTAGTTGCTAAGTGTATGAGCAGGTAGTGTACAGTGGGGTTTTAGAGCTTTTTAACTGTAAACAGCTGCCTGCTGTGGCTTAAAATGACGCTATGAGATCAGGTAGGACCAAAACAAAGTTACGGGCCAGGCGGCTAAACAATCAGTTGAAGCTCGCTATAAAGCTCAATTAAGCTGAAGGGAACTGCAGAGTGAAAATCATCTGTAGGTTCATCATTACAATTGTAACATGTATTTGTTATAAAAATATTAGTTATAGCCACTTTATGAAATACTAAAAGTAAAGATGCCAGTCCTTACTACTACTACTGCTACTACTGTAAAAATAATGTTTAGATCACAGGGAATATAGCAGAGAGAACAATCACAAGATCAGCTCACCAACATTTCGATGACAGATGAAGCCATTGGTGTCATTGCAGGACTTTTGTATCCATTTCCCAATACCAAAGGAAGGATTGGTGTTGATCACAGCACAATTTACCTGAGGAAGCACAGAGAGAGAAAGGTGTGGAAAAGAGAAAACTGTAATGTTTCAACGTAATTACTGTGGCATGATAATACATTTTCTTTTAATGAATGAAGCATACTTTATTCGTCTTTATTAAACAAAGACCATGCACAAAAGAATGTATATCAAAATGGGAAAATATGATTTATGCCAGATTTAGCTATTAGCTGATTTCCTTCTGCGGTTGCTTCTAATAGCAATAATAGTATGTTCTTGTTAACTGAAGGCCTACTATCCCATGGAGAATTTAGAAATGTAGAAAGGGACCCATTTTTGTAGGTCATTTAAGGTCCAGTGTGTAGGATTTAGTAGCATCTAGCAGCGAGGTTGCAATTGCACCTCCTCCTCCTACAGTGTGTAGGAGAAACTACGATGGCCATAAAACCTGTGAAAACGTCAAAGGCCCTGTCTAGAGTCAGTGTCTGGTTTGTCTGTTCAGGGCTACTGTACAAAACAAGACAGTTCAATATGGCGGCCTCCACAGAAGTTCCATTCATGTGGTATAATATTTATATGTATACTATAAAGGTACTGTCCTCTCTCATTGCATTACCACAGTATGGAGCCTCATTCACATCCTGGAATTGAATTTTTTTTTAGCTGTCACGATTTGAAGCTGTTATAGTGTAATGAAAAATGTATCTGATTGTTCCAAAAGTGTACTGTTTTTGTGTCCAAGTCATAACAAAATAAGTGGTGTATCACTCTTACCTCTGGTCCATTATGGAGCCATTCGAAATATCTTTGTACTTCTTCATGCTGCAGTGTGAACCCAGATATAATGAATAACAGAAATGCATTAATCTCTACACAATAGTGAATATTGATTACATTTGAACATTACCCAATTAACGTCTCGTGGATTCCGTATTAGTCTATGAAGGCCCTAAAATGTGGAAACAGACAAAGGAGAAACAAAGTTTCACATTTTTGTACACACACACACACACACACACACAAACACACAAACACAAACAAATGATCAGGAGTGCTACGCACAACCCACATCACATTATAAAACACTATTCAAATATGTTTCCACTTACTACAAGACCCATGTTGACATATCGTCTCGGTTTCCCATCAGTCCAATAATATTCATGACCTTTTAAATTGCGGAAACCAATCCAAAGGTCTGAAGTAGGTGTGTGAGCCATTTGCGTAGTCAAAAACACTGAAAATTTAACAGATAGATGATTTAAGGATGAAATATTTGCATATAACTTTTTACCCAAGTATACACAACATACATAAAACACAATATACATGTATTATTTCAATGGCTCTTTGGTTTTTCAGTACAGATTCTCTGCTGGTCGCTAGCAGAGCTTTATTTTTGTTTTGTTGTTTTGTATTTTTGTAAACATTAAAATGCAATCACCATTTTAAAACTTTCCCCTCCAGTCTTTTGTAATAATTGTATTATTGAGCCTCCAGCCTCACAATCATCACAGTCCCTCTATTTAAATCTGTCATCTTGCGCACAAAAGACTACAAAATAGATACAAGTTTCCAATGCAGGCTCAGATACCAGTGTGTCTTTGTCAACAGCCATTTCAGGATTCAGCCATGAATGCACCCTGATCATACAACCATGAACAGGTTGTGAAGATCAGTGGTTATTTTATCAGAAAATAAAATAGGTGAATCAAACCTTCCACATGTCTTGAGGGAATGGAGACCAGATTTCCACCCATGTCTTGGCATTGTTTCCTCCCTTGATCCCATGTTACTTTCTGGTTGGTAATGATGTTGTAACACTGGAGATGAGGAATGATACTTTGATTTACAACTGACAAAACATTTTAATGTGACATCTCAAAAGATAAAAAGATACATATAAAAAAAATATAAAAAAAGATCAGTGTTATCAAAACAAAGGCCAATGTCATTGCAAGCAAAAAAAAATTGATTCAGTCCTACATAATCCCCATTCATTCAACACCACACCCATAAAGGTATTAAGTCAACTCTGACCTTAGAATTCATTTTTTTCCAGGGGCGTGGGCAGCCACCTTGAGGAGCCACTGTGGGTGCCACAGTGGTGTTGGCAGGTGGTGAGCTACGGCGTTTACAGATGGACTTGTGCTCATACCCACAATTATAATCATGCCAGAAACCTGTGAACCAATCCAAGACATACAAAAACATTTATACAATGTGCTTTCTGCGTACATCAAATATAGGGCTAAATTTAAAATCCTTAAGATTGTCATGAAATGAAACACCTTTCTTCATAATATTTATTGTCAGCATTTTTATGCAATAGTCATTAAATGGTATATAATATTCAAAACCAAACACTGGCTCTAGATAGGATCGTTTGTTTTCATGCGCTTCTCAGCCACCCTAGTTTCTCCTTCGCGCTTGGAGGCTGAAGTGACAGAGTTGCAATATGCAACTACACTGCTTCATACTGTACTGTTTTTAAGGCAGTGGTTGGGACCCACCTAGGGGTCACCAAAGCTTCACCAAAGCTTTTCTGTGAAGAAAACTATATACATTTGTTATTTTACGATTACTATTGCTACCACGAGACAATGTCTCTCTGTGTTACTAAAACAAGTCTGTGACTGTTAATGTACCAGTGCCCCTCCCAAGTACATCTATATGTTATCATTATTCTCCAAGGTCTCCTATATACGTCTACACCAAATTTGGAAGAGTGTGTCACAATACTATATGGGAGACCTTGGAGAATCAAAAAATATATATACCTACCTACCTCTGGTAGGGGTATCTCGAAAACTAATGCACTTTTGGGCCCTTTCCCTCTAGTCTATTAGTCAGGGGTCGTCAGTTTACTCAGGGTCCCTTAAGGAAAAATGTAGGGAACCACCGCTTTAGGGCACTGTTGTATTTCTGACAAAGTAGCTGCTCAAGTGCACTTGCTTTTACCCCAGGATTCACTGGTGTCAACGAAGGACTGAAATCTTATGGATTGCAACTTTAATGTTTTGTTTACTTCGTCATTTTCGTCCATGTCAGTGAAGGTGAATCATATTTCAGTTTACTCACCATCATGCGTCATGACTGCACAGTTCTCATCATAATTCTTAAAATCAGGCTGACCCTGATCCCAGATTTCAAACACCACTTGAGAACCATCCATCCACCTTAATATAACACAAAAAATCAGTTGTTGTTATCAGCTATAACAGCCAAATGTCAGTTATCTTCCTGTCAGAGTCACAGAGATAAATGGATAGAATCGATCAAATTTAACCCATAAATAAAGTGGCAGTGGAAGAAGGGCCATATTCAGTAACACTGTCACTTTGACGGTGTAAGTTGGTTGATTGTAGGCAGACTAAGCTGACATGAAAAGAATTCATTGGATAAATTCATACGCATCTGATGCTAGAGCGACCAAGATCAAGATGCATGCATTATTTCTGAAGAACACACAAAACCAACAGTTAAGATCTGTATCATGGCATCTTTCTCAGCCCAACCTGGGAACAGCACCTATTTTAATAATTAAATTTAAAAATAAAATTACAGAAATGTTATTCATGTATTTTTAACTGGTGGAATACAAAATAATAATTAATACATAATCACTAGGCTCTGAAAAGTCTTTATCTCAAGATGTCTAATTTTTCTAATTTCTGATTTGTTTTTAAGTCATACTCACTCAAATGTTCCATCCAAGTCTACTGTCAGGCCTATCCAGTAAGGCGCATACCTTTCTGACATCTACACACACACAGAGACAGACGGGTGAAACCAGCAGTACTTACATTGCAGTTTGTGCCAAGATAAATGCCGCGGTATTTATACTTTTATTGTTCTTTGTTATATGTAGTATAATATGGCATTGCTTACCTGCATCCGTTTCCACAAAAAGTCACTTTCAGCTTTGCTGTTGATAGTTACCAAGTCACCATGCCTCTTTTGGCAGAAGAGACGAGCATCTTCCATGGCCATTTTCTCTTTGTTAATATAATACTGATTCTCATTCCATACTAGCCACCCATCTGAAGTCTCATTGTAATCTGAAAAGATGTCAAAAATAAAAGAATATATATATATATATATATATATATTAAGTTACATCACCAATCCATCCTACTTCAACAACTAAAGAGTTTTCTGTCATTGCCTTAAATAATATCCATATGACAACAAGAACAATTCACGAGTGTTTTCTGATATGCGATACCTGTTAAGGTATGTGTAAGTTTAAACAACTAAGTGTCACAGAGGGATTGTTTAAAAAACTGGGAATTCAGGTCTGTGAATCATCCACAGTAATGGAGACACTGATGCTAATGTTTAAGTTGTCATTTCTTTAATGCCGAAATTCCTCCCACCTCCATTCACCAGTGTAGCAAATCCCAGAAAGCCATACCTCCTAAATCTTTTTTTATGTATTTTTTTTACTTACATAATTGCCCACTTACCAGGAGTAACGGGGGGTGGAGGTGGCTTTGGAGTCACTCCTGTAAGGAGACAGAAGACAAATATATCTTGAATATATTATGAAGTTGATAGTGTGCACCTCAAGGTTGAAATTACATGCACCTGAATTTGCCATAACTGGACCTTTAGAATTTTAATTGTATACACCTGCCCTAACATAATAACATAAAATAATGTTATTAAGCTACTTGGGGGAGCTGGCTTGCTTAAGGGGTGGCTGTGGCTCGGAGGAAAAGCGGTGTCGTCCACTAATCGGAAGGTTTTGGTTCGATCCCCCATTCATTCAGCGTTATGGATATATATAGATGTAAAACTTTTTAAGTTCGATTTTAGTGGCAGAGCTTTTCTTTCTGAAAAGTTTCAGAATCTGTGTAAACACAACGTGAGGTCTTAATCATTTTTAAACATGCGACAATTTTCGGACGGAAAATATGTCCTTTAGTCTGCAGTCTTGTCAACAAATGTTACAAAAGAACTGCACGCCTTCCTTTGAAACCCTTGTAACCAGTTAACATGCTTTTACCTGTACGGATCTGGCACAGCCATCCATTGTACTTAGCACACTGCTTACTGCGCCACAAATTTGTGTAAACCCAGGGACTAATTTTCATTTCAGCACAAGAATCCACATTAGTTCTAATGTCTGGCTCTCCATCCCTCCAGTGTTGGTAGTTTACCTGTAAACAAAGGCAAATGATTGAACATGCAATGACGAATGGATATATATTAATTTAATTGAGTTGCATAAACCCAAATTGATTTACTCAACTACTGTACAAAACTCTTAACTCACTGGGGATCCATCGCTCCAAACGTAACCAGTGACTGGATCAGGAGCACTAAGTCCAATCCAGATTTGTCCATACCTATAATAGACAGATTCGTGTTAATGATTTTAATATGCAACCTGCTTTTGTCAAAAAAAATTTAAGAAAAAAACTTTTGCAGCTAAGAAGTGATCCAGCTTGCTTTCATAGTTATCTGGTGTTACACTGTGATCTGCTGGACACAAGCCAACCATTAACTTTTGCAGTCAGTTTTGTACTTATTGTATGTGCTGTAAAATTATAAAATAATAAATTTATCTTGATACCCTAATCTTTCTCCCACTTGTAGCTCGGCAGCGCTGTGGATGCTGAGCAGGTCTCCTCCGATGGCTCTGCAGTAATCTCTGGCCTCATACCAGGTCTTTTTCTGCTGTGGCTCTAAATACAACTTTAAAACAAGACAGGAAGTTCAACTGTGATTTAAGATTTTGTAGTTTCATTTTACACTGAGACTGACCATTTCATCATCATCATCATAATCATTTAAAGGTAGGGTAGGCAATCCTGTTCAGAAGCACGTTTTGTTATACTGGGTGAAATGGTCCCTCTGTTGTCAGAGGAATCAATTCGTTATGTCTTCAGAAAAAAGAACGGAGAAAATCAGAGCTCTCTGTCAGCTGCAGGACTGAGAAAAC